AGCTCTCTGTGTGGGTCAGGGAGAAAGGGGAGAGCCGAGTGCCTGGATTTCTCCTCCAGCTTCAAAAATGACCTTCCTGGTCCTAGATCCATGTTCAAAACCACACACACACACACATTGTCTCCTACCTGCAGCTACTGGTGGCACAGAGGGCTGGTCTTCCTGCCTGTAGCTCCCAGCAAAGGTGGACAGAGGGGTCTGGCTGCTGCCTGCCCTGGGGAGCAGAGGGGATCCTCTTCTGCCACCTGGACTTTCTCCTCCTGCTGCCTGGATCTTCTTCTCCTGCCAGCTGGAAGGACACAGCTTTATAGTGCTCCTGTGGCATGGCCAGGTGCTTATCTCTGGGGGGGTCACTGCATGACAGCCCTGGGGAATAGCTACCCATTAACGAGCTCATCAAGCCTGCCTGGAGCCAGCCCAAGAAGCCAAGGCAGATATTTCCTCAGCTCCAGCAGGCTCTGGTGTACAACTGGAGAGTTCTACTCCAGCCCAGGGCATTAGCATGGAGGCAGAGGGGGGACCCTAAACCCTGGGAGATCTGGCCCTGTGAGCTGTGGGTGCCAGCATTTTCCCTCCAAGCCCTTCCTGGGGTTGGCCAGACTGTCTCCAGCACAGAGAGCCCTGCCATGTCCCCAGCCACTCTGAAGGTGCTGCGACCACCAGGCTCTGGCTGCTTCCCACAGCGAGGGGTTGTGTTTGCAGCAAGGCATCCAGAGGGTCAACGACCCTCTCCATCCCAGGGAACGACCCAGCAGGTTCCCGTGACCAGGGGCCAGGTGGTGACAGGACCTTCTGGCCCAACACCAGAGCTAGGCTCAGGTTAACCATTGCCCAGGTTTGCGTGAGAAAGGAGGCTGGCTCGTTTCCCCTGGCTCCTGTGGGGCAAACAGGAGGCAGGGGCAAGGAGTGGTGGGGCAGAGGGGAGGAGGTGAGCTGCAGAGATAGGAGAGGTGAAAGGAGCAGCACAGGGCAAGGCTGGGGCAGCTCATCCCTCCAAACACACCCGGCAGGAGGTGCGGGAGCCAGGGGAGCTGCTGCTCCAGCTGGGGCAACATTCAGGGCTTTGGGAAGTGCAGCTGGGATGAGGTGGAGAAGAGGGAAGGAGCCAGGGCTTTGGGGTTTGGCCCTAAGCTTCGTTCAGTCTTTGAAACAGGATGGTGGGAATTTGGCCCAGGTAGAAGTTGAGCTAATATTTAATAAAGGCTTTCAACATCTGGTCTAATCGGGCTCATTAGTGGCGATGACGCTGCTCATTAACGCTTGGCGAGGACAGTTACAAAACCCTGGCTGCTGATATTC